TTCGGGGGCCTGGGGGGAGCTCTCCGCGATCCGGCCCGGTGCTGTTGACCGGCTGGGGTGGGTCGCGTACAGTCCTCTCCTCACGGTCACTTGGGGACCCGCAGGGTATTTTGCGGCACCCCCCAGTTCTGCCGTGCGGGGGCGCCAGGACCTTTCGGGGCCGACCCGGCGTTGCCATGGGGATCAGGCCTCAGTGTCGTGGAATGATGACGTCTCCACGGCGGCGCGCGGCATGCTGGGAAGTGTAGGCCGGTGAGGGGGCGGTTCCCCGCTGGCTGCGGGACCGAGTGACGAGAAACAGGCGACAGGAGGAGGGGAAACGGCCTCAAGTTGGGCCAGGGGAGGTTTATGTTGGATATCGGGAAAATCCCTTCACCGGAGGGGCTGTCAGGCACTGGCTCAGGCTGCCCGGGGCAGCGGTGGGGTCGCCATCCCTGGGGGTATTTAAAAGACATGTAGGTGGCGAGGGACACGGTTTAGTGCTGGGCTTGGTCGCGTTAGGTTAACAGTTGGACCCCATGATCTTAACGGTCTTTTCCAACCTAAATGACTCTGTGATTATCCCCCTATCTTCATCCCCTTTGTGATTATTATCACTTCTCTGCTGGCGTTCATCCTTTTGGTGCTGTGAGCTACGATCAACTCCAGACTGAGCAGTCTTACTCAGCCTCTAACGCTGCTGTAGCTTCCTACAACCCATCTCACAGCTCCTTCCACAACTTGCTTTTCTCGGCAGCCTGAGCTGCGGTTACACAGTTGGGCCATCTTAGAATTGGACCTCAGACTCTTGACACGGTGGGAGCTGAAAGCTGGGGAGAAGATGAAAGGGGAGGGTTACAGAGCGACGTTTACAATCCATAGGAGGAAGGCAGAGTGTAGCACACTTGGCTTATCTTCTTGATGGACCGATTACAACAGTATCTTGCAACTTCACAGAAGTGTTAAATTGCATCTTCAATTTTCTATTGCCGACATTTGTACCTAACAGGCACACACACACAAAATTTTCTTCCCCTGAGGTTGCTACCCTAAGGAATTAACATTTTCACTGTTTAAAAAAGCCGTGATTATGTATTCTTTGGTGGGGACATGTGAAAGAAAGAGAAAGAGGAAACCCAGGGCCAAGTCAAGTTGGTTTTCAGGACCACACTGTATTAGGAACCAGAGAATCACTTGGATTGGGAGGGGTCTCGGGGAGTCATCCACCAATTATGCTGTGAGAAGGGAGACAAGGGCTTGTGGTATAGAGGCAGAAACAGAGTATGGAAAAACATATGCAATATATTCAAAAATAAGAACAAGCATGGAAGATGTCTGGTGGGAGCAGAATGGGAGGAAGGATGCCTGGTGAAACCTGAACAAGTCCAGTCCTAAAAATACCATAAACTATCGTGAGCAGACAAGATTCCTTTCTCTAGAGAGACTATGGCAGACCTGGCTGCCGAATAAGGGAAGTCTTTTCGACCGTACAAAGCTTTTAGTTTCCCAAATTGTGTATTAGATTTGGAAAAAAACACATAAAGTCACATCCATATGTAGCAGTTGTCTGAATTGGACTTTTCTTTAAAATATCTTGGTTGAGAGTTGTCTCAATAATTGTGAACTGCAAAAAATATAACTTTCTGCTGCATTTGTGATAGACTACCTTTATAGAGAGTGAGGAGACAGAGGTCTTTCTGGGATGGGATCCATCGACCTGGGCTTCTGTTTTACGATAAGGTGAATCACCTTCTAAGTTGACTACTTTTTTCCAGTGATTACCAAATAAACCCAGGAAGCTAGTCCAGATGCAGATATTCTTAACATGTCACCTGCATTTAGTCAGGTGGATCCTGTCGCTTGTATTTTCATCGTGTGTTGGACCAGAAACACACCATGTCTTTTCACTTCTAAGAAAATCACTGAGAAAACACTCTTCTCTCTACTGTTCTCCATAGGGCATCCTTCACCTCTTTGTTCCTCAGGCTGTAAATCAGGGGATTCAGCATGGGAAAGACGACAGTATAAAACAGAGAGATCACTTTGTCTGTGTCCAGTGAGTAGCTGGAGCTGGGCCGTAAGTAGGTGAAGAGGAGGGAGCCGTAGAATAACCCGACGGCCGTCAGATGGGAGGTGCAGGTGTAGAAGGCTTTGTGCCTCCTATCTGCCACACGGATGCGGAGGATGGTGCTGAGGATGCAGGCGTAGGAGACAACGATGGTCAGGAAGGTGCTGATTTGTATAAAGCCGCAGAGGGTGAAGAGGAGGACCTCGTTGATGTGTGTGTTAGAGCAGGAGAGCTCCAGCAGCGGGGGAATGTCACAGAAGAAATGGTTGATCACATTGGAGCCACAGAAGGACAATGTGAATGTGAAAGAGGTGTGCACCAGCGAGGTCAGAACCACACTGAGATAAGCCCCGGCTACCATGGAGGTGCAGACCCTGCGGGACATGGCAATGGTGTAGAGAAGAGGGTGGCATATGGCCACGTAGCGATCGTAGGCCATCACAGCCAAAATGAGGCACTCGGCATCAGCGCAGGCAGCAAAGAGAAACAGCTGTGTTGCACAACCAATTAAAGAAATGGTCTTCTGCTGTGCTAACAGGTTCACCAACATCTTGGGGGCAATGGCAGATGAACAGCTAAGGTCTAAGAAAGATAAATTGCTTAGGAAATAGTACATGGGGGTATGAAGGCAGGCATTGAGCTGGACAAGCACAACGAGGCCAATGTTCCCCACCAAAGTGGTGGCATATACGAATAGGAAGAGTCCAAACAAAAGTAGCTCCACCTCCAGACGGTCAGTGAAACCCAAGAGAATGAACTCGGTCAGTGCGGTGCAGTTTTCTTCAGGCATTTCCTTACCATGTGTTTGGCTTCGTACACATCAGATTTGTCAGGGGGTCAGTCAGTCCTCGTGGGCAGGCAACGCACAAACACGTTACATCCTTCACAAGATAGAGGTAGAGGAAACGTGAGCATCTCACCCAATATCAGAGGGGGAAACCAGTGGCTTAGATGATGCCCACTGAAAGGAAAGCTTAGGAGGACACTCAAAGAGAGCTTTACAAACATACTTTATATATGGAATTCCTTCCTGGATATTCCTTGCATCTATATGAAATAGGACCTCAGATGGGATTTTATTTAAGAGCCAGACTATAGTGCAGGTATAGAAGAAATTTTGTATGATACATCACTTGAGGAGAAACATATTCTTTGAGTCACATTTACCTGTGTGAACGGTAGAGTAAGGAGCTCAGGCACAGTTAATAATGATCTTCCTGAGGCAGCAGTGAAATTGAACACTGGAAAAAAATGGACTGAAGTGCTGGAACACGAGCAGATTTTATTTTTTTTTAGACAAGACAAAAAGACATAATTAGTTTGGAGCAAACAAAAATCATTGAGTTTAAAATGAAATGAAATATTGCGTCTCATTCTGGGATTTCTTACAAATACTTTGTGGGTTTATTTTCCTGAGGCTGATTAATTCTTAAGCAATTGATGAAAAGAAAGCCATGAATATTGTTTTTAAATATTCAAACAGAAATATTTTTAGATTTTCCAAGCAATTTTCCCCACTTTTTTTTTTTTCTGGCTGAAACTATTAATTGAATTTGAATTAGACTCAGTCCCTTAGAAAATGAATTCTGGGTATTAATTTTAGCTTTCCAGAAAAAGTGCATCATTTAACTTAACTTTCCAAAAGTTAAGACACGTTTCTGCTGATGCCAGTAAAAATTCCAGGCCGGGCAGATACATCTTGCTCACCTTTACATTTACAGGAAAGATAAGGATTACAAAAGGACATCTAATAAAAGAACTGCTAACACAGGTCAGTTAAATAACCCTGTAAATATCAATGCTATGTAGACAAAGGCACAGACAAACCAGAAATGTCTATGTTCCTGAAAAAATAGTAATAATCTAAGGTGATTCATTCAGGAAAGGACAGTAGACGGTTACAGTAGAGTCTGGGGGTTCAGAAGGGGGGGCTTCAGTTCCCAACTGTGTTTCCAGGCACTCTGGGTGCAACGAATCTCACCTGTATTTGGCTTTCTAGAGGTTGGTCTGAGAGCATCATCTTCAGCTCCGTCTATAACCGTCACAGAGGGGTAGGTGGGATGCATTGTATCCTGGCTATGCGCGTGGCTGTCGACGAGAAAGCAAACCGGGATGACCAATATAAATTCACTGCCAAAATTGTAGATAGTTACCCTCTAAGATGAATACCATTTTAGACAGCTTTCTTTTTCAAGATCCTTCATTCTTGGGGAAGGCTTGGTGCATCCTCCAATCTGAGTTATTTTCTGTGTGACTCTACTCGAGAGAACATCTTGGGTGACTCAGGTCATCGCACAGGTCTCCCAGTTATGTTCCTAGAATAAAGTGACAAGTTCCACAAAATTCAGTCGTGTTTTATTTTTAGCCAAGACCCGTTGAACAGAGACCATGTAACTTTACCATTTATTTTGATGCCGTCACAGGCAATTTGAGACATTTCTGGTGAAAGTGAAAAAGAACATTTCTGCCCTGAAAAATATTCCATGGTTACGCACATGTGGCTGTTTCTTCCTATTTTCAGCTGTTGATCATGCTCAGAAATTAAGGCACGGAAATCCTAGCAACCGCTAACAATTCAGTGGTCTCTGATGAAAGACCTACAAGAGATTTCAGTTCCCAGAGCAAAATTTAGGTGCAAAAATTAAAAGAAAAACACAAAACAAAACAACAAACAAACAAAACCACCCCAAAACAACTCCCCTCTTTTTAAAGATATATTCGTATATATTTTTTCTTTTGTTGTTTTGTGATGCAGCAATGCTTTTCCTTTAGTGCATCAGAAATTCATTCAGCCAACAAGGCAACTGACTTAGAACAATTTCTGCACAACTCCCTGAATGGAAGGAAATTTTACTCTTTGGGAGACTTACCTGCTAGGGAAATATTTAGGGTTTTTTCCTGTATGCAGAAAATGTTTCTTTGGGGGAATGACACAGATTTTATATCTTCCTTTCAGACACAGGAGACCACGATGTTCTCACGGGAAGAGCAGAACAAATGAAATGCTACTGGGTTGTCTCAGTGTGGAAGTGTTTCAATGAATTGATATGCCCCAAAGATATTGTAAATATTCTTGGAAATGCCTCTCATATTTCCTTTGACTGGAAACCCATTAACAGTAATTTTTTTTAAAGTGTCAAAACAGCGCTAAAATGAGGATGGAGTCCCAGCCTGTGATCCGGAGTCACGGATACAAAGCCACTGTGACCTTGAAGCAACCGCTTTTTGTAAAGAAAAAAAAAATCACGCAACTCAAAGTGATTGTGGCAATTTAGCAAATGGAATTCAGGCAGTAGTTAGAACTTTTGGTAATGTAATTATGACATATCAAATTAAAAGGTGCTGGTTCTCACTAGCTGAAGACCCTACATAATACAGGAATTACACACCCAGAGGAAGATTTAGAGCAGTTTAACTTGTTACCTTGCTCATATTTTAAGCAGTAGTTAATCTCTTTCATTAATATCAATTTGATTTAAAAAAAAAAGAGCTAAGTGTTGTTCTTTCATAGGCGAGTTGTGATATTAATTGACAGTGAATAAAGTAAGAATATCCAGCAGCTATCTAGGTGGACAGATACAATAAAAAAGGGTTTCCATTCAACCACCCTTTTTCTGTAAGGAAACTTGGGTAATTCTTTCAACATTTTTATTATCCAGCTAACAAGCTTTATTTACACTGCTTACCTTTTCCTTCCTTCTATCTAATTCACGTGTGCAATGGCAGATGTATATATGTTCATAGGCAAGCGCTTAAGGTCTTTCAGAACACGAGCCGTTCCTCCCAGTAGTCTTCAATAACGTCTAAATGGGAGGAGGACAACTTCGTATGGCATGCAATTTGTTTTGGGCACAGCGCCAGACCTCGGAGGCTAGGAAAGTCAGAGGAACCCTACAAACGCATGAAAATTAATCTCAATTAGTTTTAGGCATCTGAAAGTTATTAATCTACGTTAATTGGGTTCTTTCAGCTGTCATTGGCAAGAAATAGGGACTTCCAAAGGATGGCTCATCCCCTCATAAAATAAGTTTCTAAGGAACAGGGCATGTATTGCTTTCTGCACGTCTCTCCCTCTCTACACTGATTATAAAATAAGCCCAGACAGCTAAGTTAAGCTTGTGTAGCTCAATTTTAGGCTGCTGGAGTTATAAAAAAATGGATTCTACCCTTCCTATCCCCACACCCCGTCCCTCAGTGCATAGCAGAGCACAGCTTGAAGCTCTGGGGGTACGAGCTGACAGATGACACCCCGAGGCACAGCCCTAGGTATTGACCAGAGCACTCACACGGGAGGAAAGCAAAACACCGCAGCAGAACTGGGTTTTATTTCTCCCATTTCAACAAACTGGCTGTGAAGAGATGGGAAAGCTCACAGAGGTTTCCAGTAGCCAGGGAGGGGTGGGCTTGGACCTTCTGAAACTCTGGGCAGGGGCTAAACCATGACACATGGCAGAGATGTAATGGATACTCTGGTTTGGAGAGGGAAGTGAGGTGGGAAAGCCCAGCCAGGAGAACAGGGGAAAATTACTGTGTTTGGATTGTTAGTCATAGCTCTGCTCTTTCATTGGCTATTCTTAGTATGGGGTTCATCACTTATCTTAAACAATTAAAAGTTACTTATCTAAGCCTAACTTCTAGGTGACTCCTGTAATCCGTGTACAGAAATAATCACTCAAATCCTAGAAAGGATCCAGAGCATAAACATCGATATATAGGCTACTGCGGCATTGCTTCTCCGAGTTCAGGAGGGGACTGGGTGTCTCTCCTCTGATCCAGCTGTGCCTTCATGGACCAGTCATGTGTCTAGTATTAATTAACTATCTCAGATGACTACAGACTGTAAATCAGTAAAAATACATTTAATGGTGCAAAAAGGAGAAGTGCTAGCGATGTAAACTATCTTTAGAGCGAATACAGAGAACATGGACTGGAATTCATCTTGCATGGGATGGTATTGTTTCATGAGAGCCAGCAAAAACTTGAAATAATGATTACCCTCCTTCATGTCAGCTCCTTCTAGATCTCATACCAAGGCTGATCGTTTCGCGAAGCCAGCAGTCCTCCGCAGCCTCTTGCTCCGTATGACCCCATGAACTAGAGGGTCTGTGGACAGAGAAAGAAAATGCCTTCCATGTAAAAGTAACACAAAATGAAAGCTCCAACTTATTGTAAAAATTAATTATAACATTATCTAGAGAAGACTATGACTCCTCTGCTTATGTTCTGGAGTTTTATTTCATTGTTGTTACTTTTTTTCCCCCCTAATGAGCTCTGTATTCACGAACCAAAGACCTGAGCGTACTGCAACCATTGCATCACTCAGTGGGATCCCTGCGGGACATCGATGGCACTTAAGGAGAGTTGCTTGGGAAAGTTGCTAGCGAAGACTTTGCCATGCCCCTGCTGGCTGTGTGTGCCATCCCATCCCATCTGGAGTCAGTGCCAGGTGGGGAGGGACAGAATCCGCCAACAGCTTACTTGATCCTGTAGTCAGAGCTTGTCTCAATGCCGTTGTGTGCCCAGCTTTCTAGCAGCGTTTGTTCCCGAGGAGAAGAAAGCATCATTATTAACTTTAATTTCCAAGGTAGGAAGCGTATCCATAGCCTGTAATACTATAAAATCTCTCAGACTGTTAATTGTGTCACTGTTTTATTCTCTATCTTGACTCTGTACTTTAAATCGTGCACACAGAATGCACATAATTGCAGTCTGTGCTTATATACACAAGAGTAAAAAAAATAATTAATGAATTTTCATGTAAGAAATGCTGAAATTAAAATCTAAAAAAAA